TACTAATCTCAAAATTCTACTGTCTAAAGCTGGGATGAATGGATAATAAAAGGGGCTTCTTATGAGCTGAAGCTCATAGTAGGTCCTTATGTGTTTAGGTAATAGCTGAAGGAGTTGAGAAAGACGTCGCTTTCCTGTGGGTGGACCAGCAGGCATTATTTTGATCTGTCTGGGGGTGGGGCAGGGTAAGTAGGTTGCTGTCAGTTAACCTCTGAACCTTTTTCTTCCAGGATGCTCCTTCAGAAGGAAGCAGCACTAAAAGCCCCCTGAGTCAAGATGAGTGAGGAAGCATCCCAATAAACACATTTTGGATATATCCTGTTTATTGTCTTGTTTTTACTGCTAGGAAGTTCCAACCTCAAGTATTCAGGGGCAACCAGAAGAGTGGACTGCTAGTCATTTGGGGCAAGTAAGTAGCCAAATACTTAAAAAGTCCATTTGGGACATTTTTATCCACCTAGGCTGAGTAAATCTTTGGAGCTTGATTTTGATTAAAAAATGTAATATACCCTATAAATGGGATACTTGCACTTTTCTGTTCTCTTAGAATTAAAGAACAAGAACTGACAGGTGATCTTTGAAACACAATGTAGCACACCACTTTAATACGAAACAGTTTAGGGGGCTTTATTTCCGGTTCTCAGGAGCGTTGTTTGGATGCTTATTGTCTAGGGCTAGAAATCTCCAGGCTCCTACCGTTAAGGGGACTTGTCCAAGTGGAGGTCAGTGCCTCATACTCCACAGCCAGTGTTGTAGCCGGCTCTGGGCTGGTGGGGGTTGTGGACTCAGGAAGGGAGGGGGAGAACATATGGAGGAGTAAGAACCTGGAAATAAATGGGGAGGGAGATAGACGATGGGTGAATAAAACACAGATATCTGAGAGTTGAAGGAGATAAGGATGATTCTTTACCTGCCTGTGGTGTTCTCAGAGTTGGTACGTAAACAACTGGAACTGTCTGTATCTTGTTTAGGAAGGCGTTGTATGCTGGAAAAAGAACAAGGGAGCTGTCATTCAAGAGGCTGATGTGTTTCCGTTATAGGAAGGCCCTAAGGGAGGGGCAGAGTCAACTATGAAATGCAGAGATTAAGTATTGTTATAAAAAAGTAACACTTCAGATGACTTCCTAGTGATATACTTAGGAAACTTGTCGTTTTTACAGGTTTATTTATTTATTTTTTAAGGTATTTTCTTTTGACTTCTGGCCAAAAAGATGGGGAAACTGCAGGTGTGGACAAAAGACTGCGTTGTCGGAAAAGTCATGACGCATTTGCAACGAAAAACAAAAATTACGAAGGCCGGCCGAGTGGCTCAGTTGGTTAAGAGCTCACTCGAGTTTGAGCTCTGAGCAACAGGGTCCCCTGTTTGATTCACGGCCCGAGCTGAGCTGCCAACAGGTGGCAGGATGGCTCGGCTAAAACAAAAATTACGTCATGACTTTGCCGACAACCCAATAGTATGTGTTGTGTTGCTTGAATCATCTTTAGCTGGAAATAGAAGCAAAACTAGCCATTATCTCAAAGTTTAGCAGCGACTTCTGCGGCTGAGTGGTATTTGCCTTGTTCCATTTACTGCTTGGTGGTAGTAAATTGAGCAGGACCTTTATTAACCCATCAGGTGCCTAGCTAGGGCAGCTAAATCAGTTTCAACGATTCGTCCCAAATTAGATGTGATAACTAATTTTCATCCTTATTTAATTAGTTTGACATGGTGCTGAATATAAGGACTCCTTACCTAGAAAGATGAAAGCTGTTGATGCCAGCACTGCAAAGAGGGTGTAGAGGAGGAGCTGGTAAGAAGAATCCCCGAACTTCTGGAGTACCCTTGAATCTTCACACTGGTCTGTGCATTGGCCAGAAGGAGAGATGATAGTTAACTTAATTCCCAGGGCAGACACTGCACTTGAAAGGTTGTGTGGTCCTAAGAGCATCTAGCAGAAGCGCTCAACCCAGCCCCCCAGGAAATGGTTAGCTTGTTACCAGAATAAAGAGAGAACCTGTACATGGCCCCATTGCTCTGGCTTTTTCCTGTCTCCAAAGTAATAAACTACTAATTCTTGAGCCTCTTGTTTCTTGTCTCACTTGACAAAAGAATAAGTCCTCCACCCCTTTAACCTGCCTGTTAACCTTTCCTGTGTTAACCAAACTTGAGACAATCAAGGGTGATTCTGATTCTAATGTGCAACATTTCTTTGGATCCCCAGTGACCTCTTAAATCCAGGGGCCCCTTACCCTGTTTCAGAATGTCAGTTCTGGGGGAACATTTTGATTTTTATGTAAAACTTGAGACTCATGTCTTTGAAGCATACTTGGCATCTGCCTTTGGTTATTTCAAATTCTTCAGCGCCTGGAACTTGCCTGCCCCCCAAACAGCCTGAAATTCCAGGCCTTCCCGTATCAATTGTTGGCCCTCATACCTAGTTCCAATAGTTCGCCTCTAGTGAAGGCCCTCTGGACTCGAACCTCCCACCATACGTCACTCTGTTCACAGACTGCTTCACTTGGAAGAATTTGAGGTTGCTTGAAGTGTGTACACTAAAAACTTTCCCTAATCCATGATCAGGTCCTACTGTTGAAAGTGACTAAAACAGGAGGCATATCAACTTTTCTCGCACCCCACTGTTCTATGCTGAACTAATTGCTATCTCCCCAGTTGAGCCCTGTCTTATGCGGGGATTTCTGCAGCAGGGACCATAGGTGGCATGTGCCAGTAGGCGCTCTGCTTGTGAATGAGCTTGAAGGTTGGGCTGGATGTTTATCTGGCCACTCCATGCACCATGGTTGTACTCTTGCACCTGTTCCTCCTATCTCCAATGGTTAACCATTGTTCTGCCGTGAGCAGCTTTGGCAGTCTGAAGCCTATGGATCCCATCTCGGAATGTTTTTTTACGATTTCTTACTGATATTTTAAATATTGACATCAGTCCCTGTGAAATAAATTCTTTTAAAACCCAGGTGAACACCCTATAACTAGTATACTTAGAAACCAAGAGGATCCCTTAAAGATGAAAGGTACAAGGCGAGACCAGCATGAAGATGTAGAATTGAAATTTTTTTCTCGCTGGCTTTCAAAATGGAAGTTAAAACGGGGGCACAAAATGGTACCTTTGGTTTCTTTTTTCCTTTAGCTGAGCCCGCAGCTCAGCGGCTGCTCAGTTCTGGCCGTGAATGGAACCGGTGACACTTGTTCAGAACTCGCACTCTTGAGCGAGCTCTGAACCAACTGAGCCACTCGGCTGGCATTTTTGTTTCTTTTTAAAAC